TGGAAAACACGAAGGAAAATGTGGCCATTTTTGAATGAAAAAACCTACACTGACAACACATATTTAAGAGCTAAATGATCAGTTTTTCATAATAAAGATCGGATTTAGAGACACGAGTGACAAATGCGACGAGAGATCATTATAAAACATCCCCTATAAGTATAGACCAGAACAATCATGCATTACATAATGAAGAACTATAAAAATAACAACAGAATAAATGCATCGTTCCTACCTGCAGAACCGGCGACAGGAAGTGACGTCACGAGGTCCCGCGCCGATGAGAAACACGCGTGGCTCTGTTAGCGCTGTTACACGCGTTTCAGTCAAACAGATGATAAAATAATATATGCATGCTCTTTTTCCATTTAACCGCGTGTATTTGATATGTTTACGGAGGAGCGAGAATTAATCCGCGCCAGGAACTGATAATCAGTAGTCGTGGTTTCCGGGAGGCCGATTAACTTTTTTTTTTTTTTTTTGGAACCTGTGATGCTTTTTTTCAGGATATATATATATATATATATTTATATATTAAGCAGCAAAAAATGTCTCCAACACTGATCATAAATCAGCATATTAGAATGATTTCTGAAGATCACGTGACACTGAAAATACAGCTTTGATCGCAGAAATAAATTACAGTTTAACACATATTAAAATAGAAAACCATTATTTTAAATGATAATAATATTTCACATTTTTCCTGCATTTCTGATCAAATAAATGCAGCCTTGATGAGCTTCTTTAAAACACATTAAAAATCTCACTGACCCCAAACTATTGAACAGCACTGTATACAATATTCCCTTTTTTATTATTATTATTATTATTATTCACTGTGTCTTGTATTTTGTGCACTGGGAGCTTCAAGACAAATTCATAGTAACTGGAAATGTTATGGAAAGCATGTGGAAATGGATTTAAATGTCCCGTCAGACACAGAAAGGCCGTGAAGAACATGGCAGAGGAGCGAATCAGAACTAAACGGACGGTGTTTGTGGGGAACCTGCCTCCCAGCTGCACCAAGAAGATGCTTCAGTTACTGTACACAACTCAAATCAGGATCCTTCTCTGATGTTTCCTCTCAAACCCTGTGTGTAAACACGTAAAGTGGCAGCCATCCAGTGAATAAAGCGTCCCGTAGTGATAGGATCGATTGCTATTCACATGTTGATCTTGTCTGTTCATTTCTAGGAGGAAAGTTCACCCCAAAAAACCGAGTATTAATGCATACATCGTCTTCAGAGAGGAAGCAGCAGCGGCTGGCGCTCTGAGATGGTACAAAAAGTTTTATTACAGCAATATCTTCTGTGACTTTTACATTAAAGGAATAGTTCATCCAAAAAATGTAAATTTGCTTAGAATCTCAGGCCATCCGAGATCAGGATGAGTGTCCCCCAGCGACTTAACACTGCTTTTGTGCTCCAGGGTCACATTTATCTAAGTTTTTTTTCTCTATGGAGAAAATGAATGAGAATGCTAAAACAGTGTTTAATTATCTCATTGATCTATTTATAATACAGTGTCCAAATATGGAAAAACTCACCAACTTTTCCTTCTGTTTCAGAGCCCTGATTCGGTGATGCTGGCGTTAAAACTCAACGCATCCAAATTACTAGAGCGAAACATCAGGGTGAAACGATCTGTCCTCGTGACCGACAGAGAGGAAGAGGAGGAGGAGGAGGAGAGCCGAAGCAGGAGTTCAGAAATAAGACGGGAGGACAGAACTTTATGATGAATCCTGGCAAGAAACAAACACAAGCTTCGTTGTTCAGAGGAGAGACGGCAGATCCTACTGACAAAAGAGGCAGAGGACTGAAAAAGAAATTTAAGCACAAGAAAAAGAAACCAAATGTTCATATTTAATGCTTGTGCTTATATTTTTACAACTTTGGTGTTCTTATGTCACAAGTAAAAATGTGATTAAACACATTGGTGTTTCTGTCTTTTAAAAAAAAAAAAGTATAACATCCTAGAAGATCTATTTAATCCTTATGCGGTGCTAATTTTTGAACCACACTCATGGACACCCGAAATGTTACTTTTTTTATTTTCTTCAGTAAAATCAATAATATAATAATATAATCAGTAAGATATTTTTGTTCAATAATATTGTCTTTTATATTTTGCATTTTGAGAGAATTTTATGGTACTAATTAATATTTATGCAATAATTATCCATTTTTCCCACATTGAAAACAATACAAAAAATATATATATTTTTTACATATCATTTTTTTATTTTATTTATTTTTTATTTTTTTGGAAAGCAGATTAGCGCCATCTGGTAAAAAAACCCCCCGTGTAATGTCATGGTGTAACCACTTTTTAGACATAATTACACATTTTTATTAGGTGGAAGATTTTAATATATATTTAAACAATCTCAAAGACTACTTTTTGTCAAGTTTCAGATTTTTTATTTCTTTTTTGTTAGAAATAGTGATTTGAAGTGTTAGTTTTTGCATTATGATTACAGTCAGTTATTTTGTTAGAAAGAGAACGCTAGGAAGTATTTTGTTACCCATTTTTTGATTCAGAATTTAATTAAAAAATGCAATTCATTCAATAATAATGCTTTATGTAAACACCATGAATGTGACTATTTTTTTACGACCATTTAGCATGTTCGATTCATGCCCTCACTATTTTTGTGTGTTCACATACCAAGTGCCATAAACGTCACCAGATTTCATACCATTCCGATAAAGCTACGATTTGTAAAATTTCGAAACGTAAAATTTTTCGGTCTAAGGTGACCGAAGAACGGTACGTTACTTTCGTCCATCTAGCGGTTTAAACATAAAACTACAAGAAACTCGCGGAGGGAGATTGTTTGGTCGGCACGTGAGTTGTGCTTCGGCTCCGCGGATGAATCGGATGTTTGATCATGATTACAGATGATCCCAATTTCACTAACGACCTCAAAATGAAACGAAAGAGAGGCTTATATGATGCTGTTTTTCTCACTTGATATCAGTTGTTTTAAAATAAGGTTACACAAATTTGGCAGCATTGACATTAAACAACGATTGCTGTATCAGATAATGATATAAACTATAACTCAGCCAACAGACATGGTTTGAGAGTAGCATTGTTTTGTGAAACTAGTCAATGTGATTCTATGAAACTATGTTGATTCGTGTTTTATTATTTGTTTGCTGTGGCTTCGTAGTAGCTTGAACTTCTTTCCTGTATTCATGGATGTGACGGTTTCCCGCAAAATCCGTCACGACAGCTGTAAAATACAAGTAATTATTATTATAGGCTTACCATAGTGATTTAGCATAAAGCAGAAACTCAGTTTTTAAAGATGGTTTTATGACGTACTGTAAATTTGGTTAATTTTGAGGGAAAAAAAAGTTATACTTGTAGCTTCATTTTTTCAAGGTCACTTAATGTTTATCTTTCCAATAATGTTAACATGACTGTAGCGTCTGGACCACTCAAACACACAATATATATTTTGTTAGCTAGATTTAACAAATACTCTGTAACACCCCAGGAAGCTGAACAGGCCCCTGGTTCCATAGCAATGCTGACACCCGATACATTTACGACCTCCTGGAATTTAGGTGAAGAAAATCGCTTCCTTGCCCATAAGGAAAAATCCACAAGGGAAGGACTTTTCTTTGCTAATTAATTAATAGGAAAACCTTTCTTTGAATGAACACACATGATCCTTCAGGTCATTGGGTATATTACTGTCATCGTGTATTTTGTCTTTGATATTTTTAGACTATTTTAGGCATGCTTGTGAGGGAACCCATTCCTGTCATCCTTTCACTATAAGTAACTCTACCATGTCTAGTATCTATGAATTCGTATTCGGATGATCTAATTGAGAGTGTATATTGTATGTTTACACCTACGCAACATATTAGTGTTCTAAGAGTCTTTAATAATTTTTACACAAGCTTCATATGCAAATTACCATGCTTTCAAACAAAGGGCCATAAAAAATGCCCCAGTATCTCAGCACTCCCACTTGAGATTCCGGACTTCCTCATTGGACAAGCCCATCTTGAGAGGCGTAAATCTTTGCAGGCTTTAAAGGCCACACTTCATGTGATCCGCCCGTCGGTGGTTTGTTGGGATTCTGAGAGGTGGTGAGAAAAACGCTCCCAGAACATCATAAGCTAGTGCCAGGCTTCAGCCTTGTCCTTTCCATTTCAATCAAGAGAATAAAACCTTACTTGTATCACACTTGACGTGGTTCATTGTTTGCTCATAACTGGAGTCACTTAATCATGCAGATTTATGCTACAAGCTTTTGTAGAATTGTACAGTAAGAAAGTTATTTCCCTTAACCAGGAAATTAACGTTCTTAGAATTGACAAGACGGTTGACCCTGAGTGGTCAGCTAAATATCTACAGCGGATCTAAAATATGAATAGTTAATTATAACTAGTTATGGTTAATTATTCATATTTCCCATGAGCTGATTCGTTACATGAGTTAATGCATTAAATATCATGAGCAAACGTTTAATAATCAAAGTTAATAGTCGTTTCTACATATATGAACACATTTTAAGTTGCATTAATGAATGCAATGTATGAACATGAATGAACAACAGTAAATGTATTAATATAAAGTTAGATTAATAAAATGCTGTAAATAAATGCTTAGTGAGTTCACGATACCCAAAGATGAAACTTGACCATATGACTATATCTGAACAACATGAGAGCAAATTGCAATTTTGTATCACAAACATCTAAGAGCAGCAAATTATGAATGGCTCTGACACAATGACTCGATACATTGATTTTTTTATTTTGGATTTAAAAAAAAAGAGAAAACTCTCCCCTACTTGAACCGGAGCACCTTTAAACATGCTTCCTATCCCACAATACCACATTAGACGTCTCGCAGTCTTTAAAAACAACTTAAAAACATGAATACAGCAGCACGTCCATCTTCAATAGGCTTGCTTTTTAACATTAGTCAATGAGAGACGAAGGACACTGTAAAGATCCCATCTATGAGCCTCTGCGGCGACATGTTTCATGATTTTGTGAACCCAAAAATGCCTTGTTCGGTTTGTTTTCTGTCATTCAAATACACTAAAACTCACGTCAACTTCAACGGGACAAACTCCGAAGCTCAGATTCAAAACAAAACTCTATGACGTTTGATCCCAAATGCTTCTTTAAATCAGAATCAGTGCGTTAAGTGTTGAGAACTGGATGGAAAGGGGCGGGACAGAGCGATTGACTGACGCGACGCAGACAGGAAGTGATGTCACAGAGCTGCTGGAGGTCTTCTACTCGATGTCGTCGTCACTGATGCTCTGAGCGCTCACGATACGCTGCACGAGAAGAGAGAAGCATTAGAGTTGCATTTGGGAATTTAGAAGACATTTAAATAATAATAAAACGTATGCACTAGCAGCCAAAAGTTTGAGACGAGTAAGATTTTTAATGTTTTTTTAAAAAGGTCTCTTCTGCTCACCAAGCCTGCATTTATTTGATGCAAAAGCAGTAATATTGTGAAATATTTGTACTATTTGAAACAGCTGTTTTCTATGTGAGTATCTGTTAGACTGTAATATATTTCTGTGATGCGCAGCTGTATTTTCAGCATCATTCCTCCAGTCTTCAGTGTCACATGATCTTCAGAAATCAGTATAATATGCTGATTCACTGCTAAAAAACATTTATTATTATTATTATTATGTTGAAAACAGCTGAGTAGAGTTTTTCCAGGTTTCTTTGATGAATAAAGTTCAAAAGAACAGCATTTATCTGAAATAGAACTCTTTTGTAACATTATAAATGTCTTTATCATCACTTTTGATCAATTTAAAGCATCCTTGCTAAATAAAAGTATTAATTTCTGTAATTTCTTTCCCTCAAAAAAATAAAATAAAAAGATACTGACTCCAAGCTTTTGAACGGTATCGTATATAATGTTACAAAAGCTTTTTATTTCAGTTAAATGCTGATCTTTGGATCTTTCTATTCATCATAGAATCCTGACAAAAATGTACTCAAGTGTTTTAAATATTGATAATAATAATAAAAAAATGTTTCTTCAAATTAGAATATCAGAATGATTTCTGAAGATCATGTGACACTGAAGACTGGAGTAATGATGCTTAAAATACAGCTGCGCATCACAGAAATAAATTATATTTTAACAGATATTCACATAGAAAGCAGTTATTTCAAATAGTAAAAATATTTCAGAATTTTACTGCTTTTGCTGTATTTCTGATCAAATAAATGCAGGCTTGATGAGCAGAAGAGACTTCTTATAAAAACATAAAAAATCTGACTGTTCAAAAGCTTTAGACTGCTAGTGCATGCTTTGCATTAATACGGAGCGGATGATATATGCGCAGTTCTGTCGCTCAAGTAAACGTGCGTCACCTGGCTGATGGTGGGCAGTTTAGTGAGGAGCATCTGGAAGACTGGAGGAGGAAGCGTTTGCTGCAGGACCTGCAGGAGCTGCTGCGGCTGACCGCACACAGCGATCGCATTCGTCAGATGATCCACGCCTTTCTCATAGTCACCTGACAGACCGAGAGAAGACCAGGGTTAACACAATCAGTGCTGTAATGCAACAAAAACTGAACACAATCTTGCTGCTCAAACTGTGTAGAACCATTTTTAACATTTGTGACCCTGCAGCACAAAGGCAGTCATAAGTAGCACAGGTATATTTGTAGCAGTGGTCAAAATGCCAAAAATCGTTAGGATATCAAGTAAAGATCGTGTTCCATTATAGAGCCCTGCATTTCAGCCCGGGCCCCGACTTTTTTACACTCTCGGGCGTCGGGCCAATTTTCACGTCATAGTTCAGACTCGGGCCTGTTTTAGGCTTCTCCTTATTTTTTATATTTTAGACATCCATCAATTAGTGATGAAAAAAGATTGCCGCGCTGGTGGAAACAACACGAGACCGTGCTGCCGCGACTGTCAAGAGCGGCTCGACGGTGTTTAGTGTCCAGCAGCAGCATGTGTGGTGTGTGCCGTCAACAGTTCTGCATTCAAATGCAAGCAATAGGCTTAAGCTTGCCACAAAGCACCGGCAAAAGTAATTACCATAAATGTGACAAGAGGAAACGGTAAGGAGATATTTGCGTTATTAACTTAGTTATAAACTAGTGTTTTCTGAGTCGGTGTCGCAAGGATGAAGTTGCCGATCCTGACTCGCCATCTCTTCATTAGACACGCCTTTAAAAAGAAGTGCATCTTTACGGATTATGATTAAAATGAAAGAGTTTTTGATTTGTTTGATGTAGTTAAGTAGTAATTTAAAGCTTTCTATAGATATATTTATCATGTCTGTGAGACATGTATTCGCTGAGTTTCGGTTCATTTTTGTGAAGCGCTCCTGTTCAAGAGGAAAGCGCATCATGTTTGTTTTCTTTATTTTATAAAAACGTTTTGTCGATATTGTGAGTGCACACAAATAAAATGTGTGCGGAACACATTTTTAGCAAATAATATTTTAGAATACGCACACATTCGCTCTTATTTGTATGCCTGATATGTCGAAAATGCAAAACATTTCTCGTCTCGTCACACTCTGTTACACGAATCATGTAAATTATACCCTATTTTCCATTTAAAACGGCGAAATTTGAAAAAAAAAAATTCAAGTAGTTTGCATTAGTTTGCATCGAAGGAAGCCCCGCCTTCTGAATAAAACAGCCAATCGCTAATCGGTAAAATCACGCGTCACTGCAGCTGCCGTTAGAAGCTCCGGTTGCTATAGAAACCGCGTTCTGAGAGGCGCGCAAGCGCACAGCCTAGTCAAGCCTAAAAAATTAACTTTTTTTTTTTTAATGCTATTTGAGCAAAAGAAGCAACATTCGCGCTCTGCTTGTTAACGGTAAACTCCGTCCCCTTTGATTTGATTGTCCATCTCAATTATTTTGACATTGACGAGCGCTGTTAGGCTATGTTTAAACTAGTGTTTTCGTTTTAAAACGCATAACTTTTGCAACGGTTAAGGTCCGTTCACAGCAAGGACGATAACTATAAAGATAACGATAAAGATCTAGTTCTAAAAATCGTTCTCAATATTAAAGAACAGCAGAGTCCACACCACAACTATAACGATAAAGAGAAACGATATAGTTGGGATCACTTTCCAAACTATTTTTTCCAGCTGATGAACGATAAAACATTGACAGCCAATCAGAATCCATCCTGCTGTAACGAGCTCGAGAAGTTAAAGCGGCAGACGAGCGTGCGCTTAGAATAAACAGAGGATATCGTTCGCTGGTGTGGACGCTAATATCATTATCTTTATAGTTATCGTTCTTGGTGTGAACGGGGCTTTACGCCTGTCCGTTACACTACCCCGGCGTTTTTGACTTTCGAAAAGTAGACCGAAATGAGATCTCACCCTGCGCCAGCAGCTCTTCTCCCAGCTGAATCTCCTCGAGGAAGAACTTCTGAACGGCTTCAGCGTCTTTCAGGTCTGGTAACTGAACAAACACAGAGATAGAAAAGAGGAAAAACATTCGGGATCGTTTTCTGTGGCTGTTTCTCGATCATGATTCACTACATCAAGAAAAACTAACAGAGATGTGTGTGACATTACCCTTGATAATCCAGCTGTCTCCTGAACCGCCTTCTGCTTTTTTCTTCCTGAGACAAAATCACATTCATCAACTCATTAACACATCTGTCTGACGAACTCATCACTCCATCTGCATCTTACTACTACAGAAGATTAACCTGTTCACTATAGCGAAGTTTAAGATGTTTTATAGACGGATGGATTGCACCCTCCTCTTCTCAGACAGAAGTGTAATTATTTTTACCCAAAGCTGCAGCTGTTTTTTGCGAAGTCTGGCAAGTTCAGCGCAGCGCGGGAGTCCCGCCAGGAGACGGAGGCAACTGAAAAAATCTGCTGTTACGACTGGAATAAAATACACCACGAGTTGAGCTGCTGCCCAGGAACGTCCCACCAAAGGCCTTTATGGCAGCAGAGGCTGTATTTTCCATGAACCCAGAGCTGCCTGATGTCATGCGATGTGTTTTCAAGGAGGAACACGTAGTGGAACCTGGAGCGGTGCGATGTAGGCCACGTTCAAGGGCTTTTTCATCATTACAGGGTGGGGTTTGAAGCCAAAGCCAGAAGCACAGAGAGCCAGAGCTCTTGTTTTTTTGTGTGCTGGTGTGGTGTTTTTGGCCTGAGGTCTCTATAAAGCCTCTGCGGTCCGGCTCTTGGCCCTCAGCGGTTTTTTTATCTTTTAGAAATCCTCAGGTCCAATCACAGCGTCCGACAGCTGGATAATGGAAACGGGAACTCGACACCTGCTCCCCGTTTCTGCTCGGATTCTCCGACGCTGTGGCATTGAGAACGGTTGAGAAGGTGTGAAAAACCCTGAATGTGTCAGTAATGGTGTTTTTGCAAGCGTGTGTGTGAGAGCGAATGTGTTTGCGACACAAGAATAAAACTGGAAGTGTGAGACGAGATTTCTGTGTGTTCAGTAGGGGTAGCTGCTGCTGCATCACACACTTACACGCTTACACTCACAGAAACAACACCAGAGGAATGAGAGCTCATAACACGGCCGCTTTAATGCACAATACATAGAAATCAACACCGACTGACTGTTTACTCAGTTCTGGTTTCTGGTCTTTTAGTGAATGATTCATCAGCGCATGTTTACATTACATTTATGCATTTGGCAGACACTTAAAATCCATTCAAGTTATACTTTCTACCATTCGTGCATTCCTTGAGAATTGAACAATAGTATTATAAAAAAAAAATATATATATATATATATATATACACATACAGCGTGTATATACGTGTGTATGTATGTATATGTATGTATATATATTAATGTTATTAATATTACAATTTTTTAAATAAAAGATATCTGTGTGAGAAATATTAACATTTTTAAAGAAAAAACATTTTATTTTATTAGTGTTAATATACAATTATAAACTGTATTTACTCTTTAAATAATATTATAATATTATTTTAAAGAATAAATATAGTATATAATTTTATAAGTACTTATTAGAATATTTTATTAATATTATAGTATTATTTTAAATAAAAATTGCCTTGATAACCTTTCATAATAATGCAATAATGACTATTTTCAGTTCATCTGCCGTCATCAGTCCCGCTTATTTATCAACAACAGTATTCACCGTCCAATCAACTCCTCATGAGGATTTTTTACATCGAACATGCTGTTTAACTTAGAAATACGTCATGTGTGTCGTTTCATGTGTGTTACCGTGATGGTGTTTAGTGTTTGTGTGAATGACACACTGTGCACCTTCTATATATGTTATTATTTAAAAGCTGCTTGTGATGGGCTTTGGTGCATCATGTGACTTTCTCATCACCTCCTGCATTTGGTGGTTATCAGTGTATTACAGATTTCAGTACTTCAATAGGTTGGTATATTAACATTATATCAGGTAATGAAATTACGGTATTTTACTGTAAGTTTAAGTAAAACCGTAAAACCTAAAATGTTGCTACCGTAGTTTTTATGGTAAAATTCCGGCAACCACAGCTGCCGTTTTTTTACCGTTTTACAGTTGTTTTAAAATAACGTTGCAAACGTATGGCAAACGCTGACAGTAGACATAGCGATTGTTATTCATACCAGATAATGGTAGAAAGTGTAACTTGACAAGGCTGTTTGTAGGAGAATACACCAAAGCAGTAACTGGTTTATAGATTGGCATCGTTACCAACATAAACATTGATTTGTGTCTTACAGTCAATGCGCAGATAATGTAATTCAATGAAACCATGTTGATTCGTGTTTTATTATTACGGGTGTGTTGCTTTCAAATCCTTTCGGTTCGAGGTTCGGTTGTTTTGTCTTCAAGCCACTTTCACTGCATAACAGTAGCTAGTCCGACCTTCTTTTCTTTATTTATGACACAAACTCGCACGGACGAATGACGGAAGTAGGCCTATGCAGTTTCCCGGGAAATCCGACCCGACAACTTTAAAATATGAGTCATTATTATTATAATAGGCTTATTATAGTGATTTAGGCTGGGGAGGGAAAACACGGTGTGGAAGATGCTTTTATGATGTACTTGCTCATTATTAAATGTGGTTGTTAGGGAGACTGTTGTGGTTTAAGAATATTGCAAGGATTTTGTAAGTGTGTTGCTTCAGTTGCTTGGGTTTTGGCACCAAACGCTGCAAGTACCCTGACAGCACACGTACATCACGGAGACGTCTATTTGACGTCTGCATTTACATCTGCAAGACGTATGTTTTAGTGTTTGCTCATCTGCAGTATGTCTATAGGACGTTTCCTATCAGATGTCAAATAGACGTTTAGAAGATGTCTTTAAGATTAAGAATGAATGTAAAACTGACATCTTAAAGACGTCTGTCAGACGTTTGTACACAGCAGATGCTTTCCAGATGAAGCGATCTTTAACAGACCTCTTGCAGACGTACGTGTGCTAATTGATTTGAGTAAAATACTATGCAGACACCACTGCACTGCATGCATTTGTAGTGCGCATGCATACTGTACACAAGGATGACGGCTCGTCTGAGATAGCAGCGGCGTCTGGGTGAAACGCTTTGAGGTGAACAAAAGCCTCCTAGTGTTGCATTTCCAGGCAGGAGACGAGCGCTAATCCGCACCTGCTCATCGGCTCTCTTCAGATCCTGTGTGTCTCTGCCATCCGCGACGGCCAGCCAGGCACATCCACAGGAGACTCTTGGCATGGTGCACGCGGGCTGCAGATGGCCTGGGATTGATGCTCCGCACGCTGCCTCCTCCTGCAATGGATCTGATTAAAGCCTTTGAAAACAGACAGGCATTGATCATGTCGAGCTGCATCCGAGAATACCAATTAAACCCTTTGAACTCCCCTTAAATTATATCACCATCCAATAATTACGCATGCATGAATAGTAATCATCAGGAAGAAACCTTGTTTTCTCTTGTCATCAGGTCCAAAGCTGCATAATCACTGTAAAAAATGAATTTAACGGTTAAAGACTGTAAAACTGCTACAGTAAAAACCTAGTAAATTCCCCTATTATATACGGTGAAAAACTGTATTGGACATTACTTGTAATTTTACGGTAGTATACCGTTTTTGGAAGTGAAAAAGACCGAGATTGACATTCCCAGAATTCCCTGCGTTACATTTCACATTTGATGTTTTTTTGTTGAAATAACTGTTTCTTCTTAGTTTTTTCTTATCAGTTTTGTATATTAGGGTTGTATGTTACACCTAATGTTGTTAAATGCATGTTTATTGTATTATTTTAGTTTCATGTGTGTCACCGTGATGGTGTTTAGTGTTTGTGTGAATGACACTGTGCACCTTCTATATATGATATTATTTAAAAGCTGCTCGTGATGGGCTTTGGTTCATCGTGTGACTTTCTCATCCCCTCCTGCATTTGGTGGTTATCGGTGTATTACAAAGCTACAAAACAGATTTCAGTACTTCAGTAGGTTGGTATATTAACATTATATCAGTTAATGAAATTACGGTATTTAACTGTAAATTTAAGTTAAAACCGTAAAACCTAAAGCGGCGCTACCGTATTTTCTACGGTAAAATTCCGGCAACCACAGCTGCCGTTTTTTTACCGTATATTTTACGGACTTTTTTTTACAGTGTGTTTTGGTGTTGCTTCATACTCTGTTGTGGGACGCTTTATCGTGACGCATTTCTCAGAGTCATGACCGTGAAACGGCAGAAATCGGCTGGAAGTCTGAGCTTTCTGTTTTGTACAAGGAGAGAAAAATGTAAACGAATCTAGAGCATAATAATTGAGTTGCATCTACAGGAAAGTGTTTTTGCTCTTTTACAGCTCAGGACAAATGGTGTAGAAGCTATTTTCACTTAGAAATTGCTAGTAAATTTTGCAAATTGCTAAGAAGCATTGAATGAAATGTGAAATTTAGACATAGAAAAACTGATTTTTTGTAATTTAATAATTTTACAGCCTACATGTGATCTCCGTAAAGCGTCAGCGATGTTTCTTCTGAGGAGAATTAAAAACAGACACACAAGTCATTAGTCGAGCTTTAAAATGAAAATAAAGCAGCTAAGATTATTTGATGAGAGCTTAAATTGACATCTGACCTTGGTCTCATCTTGATTTCAAAGATGAGACAGTTTGCTTTCTATTTAATCTCAGTGCTGAATAATAGAAACAATTGAGATATATTAAAAGATTTTATTTGCAATTTTAGTAGACATTTTTCCAAAAGTTGTTTCTGAAATCACTTGGAAGCAAAATTCACTTTTACATTTCATTTTTTAGTAAATCCAATATATAAATCCAATATCTCCTTTTTTTTTTATCCACAAAAAACTTAAACCTTCTCAATTATCAAGCCGTTTTTATTTTCTGAGCAATACTACTCGGGTCCCGCACACATTCGAAATGATTGTTTATTCTACAGACATAAGCCAATTTTTCACCTTTTGGCCAAAAAAACTTTGTATTTTATTTATCGGTGTGATAACGCTGAAGCACGCAGGACGTGATTGTTTTTACATTCTGCTCCAGAACTTTGAAGTCTTTGGTTCGGGACGAAATGTGCATGAATATTTTGGCACGCGCCGGAGGCTGTGCTTTCTGAGCAGCACTGGAATAAAAGCCTTGGAAAACATCACCAGTTTAACTGCATTTACCCAAGTCTCCCCCCTCTCTCTCCCTTCCCTCTGTTCTTGTTTCTTCCCCTCAAGCTCCCCTCAGGAAATACTGAAATGATGAAAGGCGCTTGCGTCTGTTTCTCCCTCGCTGTCCTCACATTCATCATGAGCCTGTTCACATTTCCTGTTTACATGCCCGAGGGCAGAGCGCCTCCATGAGCAGGAGACGAGCCTCTGATGATGCAATCGGGCTCTCACTCTCTCCTCGTCCTCGTGTTGCACAACCCTCTTCCCTACTGTAATACAATGCTCCACTTCACATTTCAGCTGCATTGTTCTGTGGCCTTTTGACACTGACATGCCCAGACTTATTTAATGGTTGCATAAAACAAAAATTGTCTGAGTCATTTAAAATTAATTTCTTATATCCAGCATGCTATGCAGTAAATTTACATGCACAGATATTATAAAATATATCAGTAATTAAATTTACATTCGTGCATTTTGCAGATGCATCTATCCAAAGTGACTTGCTTTGCATTAAAAGTATGCATTTATTATTTTTTCCATGCATTGAAAAAAGTATAAGTTTTGGTGGTAACATTCGCCAGGTAAAGCATATATTCAAAACAATAGCTACATAATAAATTATGTTTTGGTGGTTTTTATTTAGTTTTCTTTGGTAAAGTGCATTAGAATCCCAGCTTGGAAATAAATAACTGTGTATTCATCAATATGGATGTTTATACATAATGCAGAGAAATGCATAAACCTTCACTTTTCAAGTCAACATGAAATTACATTTACAACTCATTTTACGTAATCTGATGTACGAGTAAACAGTAGTATTTTAATATCACTGCAATACTGTTATAGCTTTAATATTTTATTTTTATTTAAGGAATTTTGTTGTGTGTTTTTGTCATTTTTATTAGTTTTTGCTTTTTAATGTTTATACAGTTTCCAGTCATTTTTATCACAGTTTAAGTTATTTTAGTACATCAAGTTAAACTTGAACATGGGAAATGCTGCAATGGCAGCTAGCTAGTTTAAAGTCCCCATGAAATCAAACGTTTTTTGGCTTTTAGTATGAATATGTTATCTATATCTTTACATCAACACATAGAATAACTCTGCGTGTTTCAAAGCATTTCAGTGGACTTTTATTAAGTGTCTTTTTAAAATTAGATTTCAGTTCATGTTCATATTATTTTATATATTATGGTTTTAGTTAAATGTAATAATCCTGATAAACAGGATGTTCCATCAACTATATTGCTTCGTTTATGATTTCATGCTGTTTGTAACCCAATAAAATGCATCAACGAGTCAAAGTTCGCACGTAACGTGATAAGAAAACATGTTCAGCTAACATTTACAAAGACAGGTGTGTAAATGATCTCTGCTGATAATGCTACACCTGTAAAACAAATACTAGGAATTTGCATCGCGTCTCATTTCCCTGTACGTCATCTACGAGTCTCAGAAGCACAGCATACCGACAGCAGCATTTTTAATGGTTTAAACTAGTTTTGCAACGGTCACAGCGGCTATTCTCATCTTCTATTAAAATAAGCCGAAGCCTGTTTTGTTTTATCGCTCACACAGATGGTGCATTGATTTAATTACACGTCAGTCCTGTCACATACAGACACGAGGGCCACGCCGGACCTAAAAAAAACCTCTGAGAGGATGGGGCCATTTTAAAGGGCGATGGACGGAGTGCATGAGTGTCTGTGTTTGTTCGCTCCAGCTGTCCTCCTACAGCAGCTCGGCTTTTTGTTTGATTTTTATAGCCAACCTAAAATGTGAACTTGGGGGCCTAAAAATACAAAACTTAAAATATTGTCCAGGGCCCCGGCTTCACCCCTCCGGGGACTCGGGGTGGGGGAAAGGGACAATCGAGACGAAGCCCTGGCTGCTGGACCGAGTTACAGTGAGCCATGCGTCCTCCACGTGGTCATTCAACACGACAGATGCATGGAAACACAGTCCGACACACCCGCACTGGGAAAACAACACTTTCATTCCCTCTCATTGCCAAGGCCCTAAACGGCCAACACTTCACTATCCTCAGTAGAGTTGTGCTTATGAATAATTGTGACGTTGATGCAGAAACAGGTTTTTTTATTTATACTAAGCACTGCTGTAGCAATTTGCATATGAAAGAGCCTTTGATGTCTTTATCTGCAACACTGAAGCGCTTTGAAGCCTCTGACTCGTACAATATGAATATACAATACTGTCCGGTTGTGTTTTAAAGCGTCGGAATGCGGCAAAGCTATTTTTCTGAAGTGAACTGAATTTAAAAAGACCCTGTCCCTCCTCGTCCTCTTTTCACAGGTCTGAATTAATCTGACGCTTCGCCGATCAACAAATCAATTAACAGCGCTCTCATCTGGTTTGCTTTTCTTCGCTTCTGAGCCGAATCAAATCTTGTTTATTAAGATTTTCTAATTTAATATCCATTGTGAACAGCATTTAATGAGTCCCTGCAATGTTTAACTCTACTTAGCCTCCGAAAACATGCCGCGTCTGTATAGAAACGCTTGGTTTCTGGGATGTCGTGAACCGTGAGCTGAACGTCTCGTCTCAAAGCATGGCGCCGGAGGAGGGAATCACGTTGCCATGACAACAGCATCCGACCTGCCAAACATTTTAGGAAGGGATCCGAGTAGCTGAAGATGGAATAAAGCTTTCCTGCAGAATCCGAGTCCATGTTTCTGAAAGGCATGAAACTAAATTTTAATGTCCGGATTTGGTCACAGTATCAGAGATGAATAAATAATGCATAGTATTACGCAACATCATGAAACTACATTTTCATTTCCTGAAGGGTTTGCAAGGCGGCAACAGGATTGTTAGCAAAGTCAATGAGAGTAAGTCAACCTTTAATCTTAGATTTCTTAATTCTTAAAGCAATAGTTCACCCAAAAATGAAAATCTGCTGAAAAGCTGTTCACCCTCAGGTCATCCGAGATGTAGAATGAGTTTGTTTCTTCATCAGATTTGGAGAAATTTACATCAGTGTCTCAGCAATGGATGCTCTGCAGTGAATGGGTGCCGTCAGAATGAGAGTCCAAACAGCTGATAAAAATATGGAAA